TATTGGGGGAATTGGATTGTATGCTGATTGCCAGGAGTGTAAGTTGATTGTATGTTTTTCCTGTTCAGCTGTTTACAGCATTCATATGCTTGAGAGCATTCGAATGCTTCTTCGGTTCGGTGGTTGTGGTGTCTGCTGCAGTGCTTGGAGTCCTCAGGAAGCGCTAGGAGCATTCTTCAACAGAGGTACCCAGTCGGGGTGCCAGGTGATCCGTTACACTCTCCATCTCCCTTGCCCCTGTTGTGTGACTTCACGGCCAGAGGGGAGATCATACCCGCCTGCATTGAAATGGAATAGGAGAGGGAGAGAGAGAACCCGGGGAGCTCTTACCTGCACCTCTGCCGGGATCTCTCCTCGCGAGCTCGGAGTGTTGCTGTGGTTACCATGGCAATGCTGCGATCTCGTGAGAGTGAACTCTGCTGCTGCAGCCTAGAGTTCACTCCCCACCGGACCACCAAGGATTCTCCACCAGACCATGAGGGATTACAGGAAATGTCCCCTCCCTAGGCAAAGTTAAGAAGGGAGGGGGGATATAAAGTATATTTATAATATAGTTTATGAAAAAAAAAAAATATATATATATATAGATATATTTATTTGATCTGCCTACACATACACACACTGCACTACACACACAAAGCGCCCCTCATACAAACACTGCACCCCCCTCTCCCACACACACACAATGCAATCCTCACACTCACACACTACTACCCCTATCCCAGAAGACCCCAGGTAAGTAATCAAACTGTTCTTTAAAACGGTTTGACTACTTACTCTGGGAGTGTGCCACAGCACGTCTGGCACCATAACCACTAGAGAGAGCTGTAGTAATTATTGTGCCTGGATTGTTCCTACCAGTGTCCCCCACAAGATTAGGTTCTGGATCCAGCCCTGGAGCCGACCTTAACATATTTTCTTTAACCTACATTTCTCAACAAAAGGTTAGTCAGCATTGTTTTATTAGAAGTATGCCATTCCATAGTTATGGAATACATACATTGTTACTAACAATATAGCAAGATTTATGTTGCATTTAGTATGCAAACTTGTCATTAGTCATAAAATTGAAGAGTATACAATTCATTAATAGGGTTCTGTTAATCTTAAAGGGACACTATAGTCACCTGAACAACTTCAGCTTAATGAGGTTGTTCAGGTGAGAACTGCTCCCTGCAGCCTCTCTTATGTAAACACTGTATTTTCTGAGAAAATACAATGTTTACATTGGAAGCTAGGAACACCTCCAGTTGCAGTCACTCAGACTGCCATCAGAGGGACTTCCGAGTTGATGAATGCATAATTCGCATTCATTTTCATGTTTGACGTCTTCATGCTTGGGTGAAGACATCAAACGTGCCATTAGCATACAGGAGATAGGAGGTGCTGTGAATGCCTGTAGTAACCCCGAGCCTGTCAGCGATGAAGAGCCGACAGTGTGGGAGATAAAATCTCCTGCCCAGAGCGTCGGCTTGAGCTGACAGGCTGAAGACTGGAGAGCAAGCAGGAGGGGAGGGTCACAACTGTAAGTAAACTTATTTTGTGTGTTGGTGGGTAAGTGAGTGAATGAGTGTGGGTGAGTGACTGAGTGAGTGGGTGGGTGAGTGACTGAGTGTGGGTGACTGAGTGTGAGGATAGATAGAAATACATAGATAGATAGATAGATAGTGTTAGTGTGAGTGTGTGTGTGTTCAACAATATTTATTTACAGTGTGTGTTTGTATACAAACACTATAAATAGAGATTTCTCTCTCTACATATATATAGAGTTTGTATACTAACTTTGGGTTAGGAGGGATGCCTTTGGAGGGGGCAGGCATAGACAGCGAGTTGAGCTGTCAGTCAGCTCAGCTTGCGAACGCGCATACTGCTCACATGCGCGGTAGAGTGCTCAGTTTTTTCATAGAGCGGCATTCTATGAAGAACCTGATTGGTGCAGCGCAAATCCACACATGTGCACCAGAGAGCGATGACGCTTCCCTGCGATTACGTCATTTTGACAAAAAGGGGGCGTGGCCTGATGAGGCGCTGGAACAGAGGTAAGTTTTAATGCTAAAAAAGAGCTCTGGTTTTTCTTTTTTTTTTATTCTTTATTTTCGGTGCATTCAGTTTTGTGACATACGTACTTGCATCTCCTTATCAGCATAGACAAATTGGCAATCGGCATGGTTAATAGCTTTGTTCAAAGTTAGGCAATACGTTTACAGGTGCATATTGATAGAAACTAAGAGTAGGTAGCAGTTATGTTGTGTTTGTCTTTCTGTTCAATGGTCGAAGGAGTTAGCTTGTGTCTATATGGTCAGGGAGAACATAGTGGAAATGCGTCTGCACATTTTCTTTTTTCTTGTGGGTCAAGTGTGCCCATGCTATTGGTACCCATAGGGTGGTCTGGGTGTGGGTGAATATGTTGAGTGTGTGTATGGTAGTAGAGTCTTGTAAATGGTTGATTAACACCTTCCTTGGCAGTTTGGGGGAGGCATAAGGTGGTTGGTTAAGTTGTCGTTTATCCCCTTGTGTGGTGGTGTGTATGCCTCGGTGTGGGCCATGCGCTTCTGTCAGTACTTTGGTGTAGGTTGTGTCGGGTATGCTATGCGTGGTACAGTGGGTAGTGTCGACCCCTAACCAAAGGGGTTCACGGGGAGGAGGGTGTACATCTCGGTCTTTGTAGGGGGTGGCCTTAGTCAAACTTGGGGTGTAGAGAGAGTAGTAGGCTGAACTTAGAGTAGAGAACAGCAGAGCATGGAAATTTGCGGTATACATTTTATGTGGTTTTCAGGTCGCTGCCTCCTGTCTCCTGTTGCCCCTGGGAAAGAATGGAACAGTTCTCCCTGGGTCCCATGAGTGGGGGGCGGTTGTTCTGCCCGGCATTGAGGTGTTCTGTGTCAGTCCCAGTTTTTGGAGGAGCGCAGGGGACTCTGAGAGTGAGGTGAGTTTTAGGACCTCCATTCCGCTGATGACCGCCAAGGTTCTCGGCAGCAGGCATTTGTACTCCACTTTCCCTTTCCGCAGTTGTTCCATTACGTCGATCAAGGACTTTCTCCAGAGTAGGGTTTTCTGCGTAATGTCTTGGAAAAAGGTGAGTTGTGAATCTTCGAAGGCCAGCAGTGTCTTGTCTCTTACCGCTGCTAGTATGCGGCATTTTTCTGTCATGGAGTGGCAGCAGACTATGACATCCCTTGGAGCCGTTGTGGGTGCCCTTTTGGGCTTGTTTATGCAGAAGTGGCTGTCAAATTCCAACTTTTTAGCATGTGTGTGTGGCAGGATAGTTGTTGTGAGCCTCCTCAGGTACTGTGTTAGTTCTGAAGGTCCGACTGTGTCAGGAATTCCCCG